ATCTCGCTCCGACGTCTGCGAACTACACAAACTTAACTTCATAATAAAGAACGAGTTACGTTAAACTTACAGCAAAAAGTTCGTCGCAAGAAATCCTGCCCATTCTTTATGGCGAGGCATTTTATGCCAAAATAGTTTCTTCAGGGCTTAATAAGATTTTGGTTCGCGAGCGGTGGCACGGTTTGACACGTGATCGTGCTAGAGTCTAGCACAATCTAGACCAATCGAGTAGCTGATTGATGTCAACACTTCCGGCAACATGGCTGCCTCGTGGTTTTACTTAACGTTACCAATAGAGAGGAATTTTCCCAAAAGTCTTCTTCCAAGTGGGCCAAATGGATTCTAAACAGTGCTTTATACATAGCCACCTGCACAAAGAACAATGAGGAAAATAGACGATAAGGTGAACTTTCTATGTTCTAAGTCATTTTGATCAATAAAAGGAAGTAATAAATGACAAGGACTATTTGTTTATTCATTCGTTAATGTATTAGCTCCTAACTAAACCAACTAGATCAACCATAAAAAGACATTCTTTATTAAAACATAAAACAGTACAAAACAGCATAAGAAAAAGAATAGTAATGTTAACAATGCAACTACTGCAATATAACTCTAAGGCAATAGGCTACAAATGACGTTTGTCTTCACTGTCAGTGTCAGGGCAGTCATCATCCTCCTTCTCCTCAATTTTCTTTGTGTTTGCACAGTTGCAACACCTACACAGAAACACCTACCTGTTTCACAATCACTCTCCTTGCAGCTGTAGTGTATGACATGGAAAACACTGTCAGGGACAGGATTTCTTGTCATCCATGTGACATGTAGGTTTCCATCTTCTCGGTGCCAACCGTATCCAGCAGGTGATGGAGCACCAATATTTTGTTTGACACAGGACCCCATGACTGCAGCCTGATAATTTGCCCTTTTGCACTGCTGATGGAGGGCAAGGATGATGATGCCATACAGAAAGCCTTGTACCTAGCCTCATTGACATTTTCAGCAGCTGGCTGATCATACAAGTGGCATACATATTTGTAAAGTAGTGCAAATGTTGAGTGGTCCAAGTTAAAGTAAGTACCCAGATTTTTAAAAGCCTTGAGGTACTCTTCTTTCTCACATGCTACAGAAAATGTCTTTCTTTCTGCATTAACCATAAAAGGCACTTGTGGAGTCACACCCAGAGAATGTACGGTATGATAATCAAGGCTGAACACACACTGGTTCCAAGAGCTGATGACACCTTGGTAATGTCAATAATGCCTGTCCTGTTGCCTGTCCCTGTGAAAAAACATAATCTGCATGGTTTGAAGTAAATAGGTACATTTGTCTGCAGACCTACAGCAATGACTGCATCATCAGTGTCAGGGCTGAACAACAACATGAACAGATTGTACACCCTCCATTACAGTTACACAGTGACATTGATCCCTATGTGTTATGTACAAGCTGAGGTTTTTGCCCACTCCTGTAAGATCTGAATTACGATGGGCAGGCCTGACCTTGGTCTAAGTTTCTTTGTTGGACTCGGAGTCGTCCTGCTCGATGTTGATGAGATGGTCTCACTTCTTGAACTGTCTTCTGTATCCTCTCCCCTCTCTCTCTCTCCCACTCGAGACTTCTGCAATTGCACTCTTGTCAATAAACCTCCCGTAGCATGTGAGATGGAAAGCAGCGTTCTCGGGAATGCTTTCAAACTCCAAATCCAGGCAGTGTTTGTAATTTTCAGCTATGTATCGACACTCAACCCGAGCCACTGTTGTAGACTCTTCAAGTACGTATTCCACCGTGAGAGTGGAAAATCCTGAATTTTTCTGTGCTTCACAGAGGCTATGTGCATACAGCACTGTTTATGTTCTGAAGATTTCATTGTTTTACACATTTTTGTTTGAGTTTTCCTCTTCTTCGGTACTGCTAGATGAAACTCTTTAGGCAGCCATCTTGCTTTTCTGTTTACCAAAAGCTGCTACCCTATTGGTGTAGTCTGGTCACGTGTCGACCGTGCCACCTCTCGCGCACCAAAATATTATTGAGCCCTGAAGACGCTAGTTCTTTATAGAATGCCTCGTTATAAAAAAATGGGCAGGATTTTTTGCGATGAACGTTTTGCTGTAAGTTTACGGTAACTCGTTCTTTTTTATGAAGTTGAGATCGTGTAGTTCGCAGACGTCGGAGCGGAATTCAATTTCTAAAATACTTTTTGTGCTTCACCTTACGGCCTAACATAGGAAAAACCTGTGGTAGTTTGCAGATGTTTACATACATGTACCCACATGAACATCGGCCCACTCAGATACAGTACATGCCAACACAAGTCTGCACAAAGGAACAGCTGCTAAGATTTTTGTTTGTTTCATGGTTAACTCCGCGTGGGCGAGAGATATACAGATTCTAGCTACTCACTGCACCCCAGTCCTAGAACTACTCACCATTAAAGTTAGACCTTTTTACCTACCGAGAGAATTCAACTCAGTAATTCTCACAGTAGTTTACATTCCACCCCAGGCAACTAAGACACTCTCTCTAGATCAACTATATGGTATAGTTAATAAACTGGAAAACACACACCCTGATGCTGCCTTCGTTGTGTTGGGGGACTTCAACAGGGCCAATATGAAAAATGTT